TTGGCACGATGATGTAGCAGTTCACCTGGAAGGGGTGGATGAGTTGTCTGAAAGAAGGACTCTTGAGTTGCCTAAGGCAAACAAACAACACATTTGTCTGATGTTGGAATGAAGATGTACTTGTTTGAATGCGAGGAAAAGAAGAAAACGGGGACGAAAGGTAGTAAGCTGTTTCGAACAAAAGTGGTGGCCAGGCCAGCCCACTGGGTTTCAGAGCAGCTGTTGAGTCTCTCACCATGTAGAGGAAGGTGTTGAACTGGTTGAGCTGCAGCGACCACCAGTGGAACTCCGGCTCCCCTGCCTCAGGCCCTCTCTCGGGGGCGGGCGGCAGCAGCAGCCCCTTGGCCATGTACGTGCTGTACCCCACCGCGTCTGTCAGCTTGGCTCGGGCTGCCTCGATCTCCTGAAGAAGGTTTAGCAACAGTCACACGCACACACATGCGAGCGCGCGCCCACACCCGCACCCACTCCCACCCAGCCACCCACCCATCCCTCCCCCCCCCCCCCCCCCCCCCCCCCACCCCCACTCCCACCTCCACCGCCAACCCCACCCCAACCCCCACTCCCACCCCCACCCTCACCCCCACCCCCACCGTCACCCCCAACCCCTCCCTCTCCCCCTCCCCCCTCCCGCATACCTTCCCACACACACCCAAACATTCACCCCCCAACACACACATTCACAAAGAACGATTTTTTGTACCTGTGTTGACTGGAAGGGAGAGTGAAATGAAAACGACCCCCGCCCTCTCCCCCTTCCCACCTGCATAATCAGCTCCCCCTGGCCCACGTACACAGGGGACTCGTCCCCCTGCCTGAAGAGCGGTCTTTGAGATCCGTTCTTTGTAAGCCTTTATAACCAAACACGGTTACACACCATAAGCCACATACACCACCCACCGGAACGATCGGCTCCCCCTCCCTGGCCCACGTACACAGGGTACTATAAGCCACATACACCAGGAAACGTAGCAGCACTCACGTGGATAATGGGCTCCTCACCGGGGACTCGTTCCCCTGCCTGAAGGGAGTCAGCCTTTGAGAATACAAAGCATCACACATTACCATACACGGTTACCACCCGCAGCACCCACCTGGATGATGGGCTCCTCCTGAGCCACGTACACCGGGGACTCGTCCCCTTGCCTGAAGAGCGAGAATGACGTGCGTCTCGGAGTGCCGGCACCACGTGGCGAGAGGAGATTGGGCGGCGAGGCGAAGCAGCGCTCCCTGCGGTGCAGCTCGTCCAAATTGCGAATGATGGTTCCCACCATGGCGCCCAGACCCTGGGGGGGATGACGTTGGGAAGAGGGAGGAGGGAAAAAGGCAGGCATAAGCACGCAAAGGGAGGACGAGGCGAGGCACCGCTCCCTGCGGTGCAGCTCGTCCAGATTGCGAATGATGGTTCCCACCATGGCGCCCAGACCATGGAGACGACGACATGCATAAGTCATGTAAAAGGAGGGAGTTAGGGGAGAAGGCATGCACATGAGGCACATGCAGCTCGTCCAGATTGCGGATGATTGTTCCCACCATGGCGCCCAAACACTGGTGTGGGAAAACGACGGAGACATGAAGGGGGAGGGGAATGCAAGTAAACACCACTCCCTCCCTGCGGTGCAGCTCGTCCAGATTACGGATGATTGTTCCCACCATTGGGCCCAGACTTAGGTGGGGGACGAGAGGTATAAGGCATGGGGGAGGAGAGATAAGGCAGACACGCAGTAATACATACATGCAACACATGAGGAACATGAGGGTGGTTTAGGATGCGAATGAGTGTTTCGACATGGCGTTAGAAGCCAAGGCTCTGAGACGAATTGCCAGGAGGAGATCAGCGCGACCAGAGGGTCAGGAGGGAGGGGAGGTTCGGAGGAAGGATGGGATGGGAAGATGCCTCACTCTCACACACATGAGAGATCCCCACTCACCACTTGTTTGAAGATCTGTTGCAGGTGAGAGTAGGGGTGCAGCGTGCGGGACGCAATGTACGTGTGTCCCAGCCTCACACCCACGCGCCGGTCAAACTTCTTCAGGATCACAACTCACAATTCACATCACCACTCACCACTTGTTTGAAGATCTGTTGCAGGTGCGAGTAAGGATGCAGAGTGCGCGACGCAATGTAAGTGTGTCCCAGCCTCACGCCCACACGCCGGTCAAACTTCTTCAGGATCTTGCGCAGCCCCGTGGCGTTCAGCTCCACGAACTGCAGCAGCTGCAGCAGCTCCCGCCCCACGTCCCTACAAGAGAAGGTAAAGAAGAAGATATGAATAACAGGGCATTGTACCAGGGAAAGGGATGCAGCCCCCTGGTGATTATCTTCACGAGCGCTGCTACTGGCAGTAGGGGATAGGAAGGGAAGACAGATCGAGATCGTTATGTAACCCCATGTTGCATTGCAACGATCTTGTGGGCCTCTGTTCAGTTACATCTTTGAATCATTTTGTTGCGCTGTGAAATAACTGGGCAAATATTAACACTCAGCTGTACTGCATCATGTCGCTAAAGTTGAGACGAGATGACGATGTTGCGGCGCATTGAAATAAACAAAATGTACAGTTACCTGTACTGTTCCATCATGTCGCTGAAGTCGGATGACATGACGATCGCCAGGCTGGACTCGTCTCCCCGCGTGTTCGACCCCTCCCTTCGCTCTCGTAGCCGTTGGAGCTTTCCCGCCAACACGCCCTGCTGCTCCAAGAAGAACAGCACCACCTTCTCCATCTGCCGGCACAACATAGGGATTTGAGTGAATAAATGTTATTCCACACAGCTTCAAACAGCCTGATTACCATCCGTGTAACCAAAGGTCGTCTCAAGAGAGCTCAATCTAACCAATCCGAACAGCTAATTAGCACTTGCCATTCGCAAACCCTGAATGCCTTCAGGCTCTATTGGCGTCTGACGGAACCCGGTCACGAGAACTACCTAAACTGAGAGAGAGACTACTGATGCCGCTCACGCGGAGGCTAATGTCAGGTTAGCTTGGCCTAAAAAATACGAAAAAAATCAGCAAAGAATCAAGCAGAAGTACAAGCGTTAGGGTCTAGAAACTGGACTAAGTCTTAAAGAAACAAAATATTTAAAACCAGAAATCTACCTGCGAGTCGAGATCCTCTGAGAAGCGGCGTGCCATGTCTTGCTGAACATCTTCCTCCGTGACCCCCGGCGCCACGGCGGCTTCATAGGCTCGTATCTCCTTCTTTAGAGACTTATAGTTGAGATAATATCTGTCGCAAACCGATGGTCACTTCCACGTCAGCGGTTGGACAATTAGAAGATCAAAACAGAACGTCACGATGGCTCGGATACCCAAAACATGGCACCAAAACTAGTAATAAAAAGGACGGCGACAAGCTAAGTATTGTTCGGTTTGCCATCTGACATCTAGGAAGTGGCAGCAACTCACGGTTCCCATCCTGGTACGCGGTGAGAAAGCAGATATCGGCCGTATTGCACCATTTTCGCATAAACTTCCAAAGGATAGGGCGCTACGCCAGGTGTATGTACAACATTGCAATCAAAGGCGAAGGAGAAAGAGACTGATGGTGCTTTTCAAGGCTAACGATATTCAGCTAACGACCAAGCTTCGAGATGCTGCTATTCGAGTCGCCCGGTAATTGCTGGTAAGAAGCAGCTGAACTAAAAGAACAGATTAGCCGCTATTTCTTAAAACCCGCGTCTCATATTTCTTGTTTCCAACCAAAGGTAATACGCTTGAAACCGGGTAACCAAACAATCACTCGCAAAACACTCGCGTTTGGTTTGGCGCAGGTGTGATTGGCTGCAAACCAAACAGTTTGGTAGAGGCAGGTGCCTGACTACCAAGCCGGGTTTGCGAGAAACAGGCAACTGCATGTGCGACGGACTGAGAATGGGACGCACAGCCCACAACCGAGCGTATTACAGAGCTGGAAAAATATGAGACTGCAAACCCAGACAGGTTGTAGGTGGAGAAACATACTCGCACCGATTTCTCTAGCGACTAAGTCTCATTTCAGCATCTTATTTTCCCTAGGTTTATTCCAGCGTCAAACGTGACAATACCTTGTACCTCTCGTTGTCGTTGTTTATTTTTATCTTTGGTCACTCCGCGCCTGCATTTGCTTTTACGCACGTATAGTCCGTCCATCGCCAGAGCTGGTCCTCATTATTGCAATAAGATGCACCACTCTATTTGGACCAAGGTGTATTGCAGTAACGCTCCCCCCTGTCGAATTTGGACGGAAGGGACACGACGGAAAGGCAGCAGTTAGGACGAGATAGGAAGCGACGCGACGGAAAGGCAGCAGTTAGGACGAGATTGGAAGCGACGCGACGGAAAGGCAGCAGTTAGGACGAGTTAGGAAGCGACGCGACGGAAAGGCGAGGGTTAGGACGAGATAGGAAGCGACGCGACGGAAAGGCGAGGGTTAGGACTGGATAAGCAGCGACGCGGCTGAAAGGCGAGGGTTAGGACTCGATAAGCAGCGACGCGACATTACAGGAAGCGACGCGACATGGCTGGAAGCGAGGAGAAAGGGATGGGCGTGATGCGAGGGTAAGGGGAGAGTCGCGAAGGGGTGTGGCGGAACGGTTGGGAGGGAAGGGACTGGAAGGGAGGTAAGGGGTGAGAAGGACCTCCGGGATGCGACGAGAAGGGGAGGGGTGGGACGGTGCGTGAAGGGGAGCCGGAAAGGGTAGGAAGGGATACTGTGGGATGCAACGAGGAGTGGAGAGGAGAGAAGTGGAGAGGAGAGGACAGGAGGGGACGCTACTGGACACGACGGGACGGGACGGGAACGGGGGGGACCTGATGGGACGTGAGGGGACGCGACGGGAAAGGACGGGACGGGACGGGACGGGACGGGAAGGAAACGAGACGAGAGGGGACGGGACGGGACGGGACGGGACATGACGGAACGGGATGGGACGGGACATGACGGGACGGGATGGGACGGGATGGGACGGGATGTATGACGGGACGGAGCGGGAGGGAACGCGACGGAGCGGGACGGGACTGGCGGGAGGAAACGTAGGAGACGCGCCGATCCCCATACCCCTTTCCCTTCCCACATCCCCTTTCCCTAACCCCATCCGCCTTCCCCTCCCCCATCCCCCTTCTCTTTCCCCATCCCCCTTCTCTTTCCCCATCCCCCTTCTCTTTCCCCATCCCCCTTCTCTTTCCCCATCCCCCTTCTCTTTCCCCATCCCCCTTCTCTTTCCCCATCCCCCTTCCCTTCCCGCATCCCCTTTCCCTTTCCCCATCCGCCTACCCTTTCCCCATCCCCTTCTCTTTCCCTATCCCCCTTCCCTTCCCCCATCCCCCTTCCCTTCCCCCATCCCCCTTCTCTTACCACATCCCCTTTCCCTTCCCCACACCCTCCTTTCCCTTCCCCCATCCCCCATTCCCTTTACCCATCCCCCATCCCTTCCCTGCATCCTCCTTTCCCTTCCCCCATCCCCCTTCCCTTCCCCCATCCCCCTTCCCTTCCCTCATCCCCCTTTCCCTCCCCCTCTGCTATCACCTTCTTTTCTCTTTCTGCTACCACCTCCCTTCCCCCTCTGCTGTCACCTCTCATCCCGTGATACCACCTCCCTTCCCCCTCTGCTGTCACCTCTCATCCCGTGCTACCACCTCCCTTCCCCCTCTGCTGTCACCTCTCATCCCGTGCTACCACCTCCCTTCCCCCTCTGCTGTCACCTCTCATCCCGTGCTACCACCTCCCTTCCCCCTCTGCTGTCACCTCTCATCCCGTGATACCACCTCCCTTCCCCCTCTGCTGTCACCTCTCATCCCGTGCTACCACCTCCCTTCCCCCTCTGCTGTCACCTCTCATCCCGTGATACCACCTCCCTTCCCCCTCTGCTGTCACCTCTCATCCCGTGCTACCACCTCCCTTCCCCCTCTGCTGTCACCTCTCATCCCGTGCTACCACCTCCCTTCCCCCTCTGCTGTCACCTCTCATCCCGTGCTACCACCTCCCTTCCCCCTCTGCTGTCACCTCTCATCCCGTGCTACCAGCTCCTCCCATGAAGCCAACACTTCGCCAACCCTTTCACCTTTTTCCCCTGCTTTCACACACTATTCCGCCAAGCAATCACTTCCCCAATTCCTCCCTGCCTCCTTTCTTTCCCCATGCCATGCCTCCCCTCGCTTTCCTCCCATGCCTCAGCTCTGTTTTCCCACTTGTCTCCCCTCTGCTTCCCCCCTTTCTCCCCCCTGTTGATGTGCTTGTTCCAGCATGGCGCCACAAAGAACCAGTTCATCCTTAGTTTTGTGACTAATGCGTAGATTCAAAACTCAGTTGTTGGCAAAGTAGGCTTGCCAAACCCGCCTAGTCTCTTGTCTTTCATAGCATATTACACTTGGTGCTCAGATGGTTTCAATGCATCCATTTAGTTTGTAGCAATTGAGCACAGCACTGACCTAAAGAACTTATTGAATGTATACACTTGTGCAATATCTTGAAGATACGGGGTACATCTCTCCTCTAGCGCCAATCTCGCCTTCGTGCATCTGGCCGTGCATCTGCTGCTTGCCTGTCCCTTCCGTTCCGCCAGGCTCGCCTGGGACTAGCTTAGTCCTGCTTGTAACTGGAACAAAGGGAGAGGTGACGGGAGGAAGGAAGGCTCCAGGGATGAGAAAAAAGGGCAGTTGAGATGTGAAGGAAGAGAAAGGTGGTAAAAAGGGGGAACGGGGAGAGCAAAAGAGGGTAGGGGTGATGCAAGGAAGGGAGGCTGGCACGCAAGATGGGAAGGAAGGGAGGGCAAATGAGAAGAATGGGAGGGGATGAGAAGGGAAGGGACAGGAGATGGGAAGGCATAGTAGGGGAAATGAAAAAAAAGGAGGGCAGATGGAGAAGGAAAGGGCTCTAAACACTCATGGCCCTAAACACAGCACTCAACCTCCCCACCTCCTACTCCCACTCCCCCTCCCCTCTCTCACCATCGCCCACACCCACACCCTCCTCACCTTCCCCTGCTTACATACACCTCAGTTCGGGCAGAAAAGCTAGCAGGGTGAGCGCGTGGCGAGGGCTGGCTGGCAAGCAAGCCTTGCTGCAGACATTAGGAAAGTTGGTAGGGGAGGGGGTGAGGGTGAGTTAACAGGGAGAGGAAGGGGAGAGAGGGAAAGGGAGAGGGTGAAGGGGAGAGAGGAAAGGGAGAGAGGGAAGGGGAGAGAGGGAAGGGGAGAGGGTGAAGGGGAGAGAGGAAGGGGAGAGAGGGAAGGGGAGAGAGGGAAGGGGAGAGGGTGAATGGGAGAGAGGAAAGGGAGAGAGGGAAGGGAGAGAGGGAAGGATGTGTGTTGTGTCTCGAGGCGCAGATGGCAGTTGGGGGAAAGGGAGGTGTGAGCACCGGGATGTGAAGGCTGAGGGACGTGTGGCAAAATGACTTGTGCATTTTTATGCACATGCACTGAATGATAAGAATACAAACAGGTGCACACCCGCACGCACGCACGCACGCGCACGCACGCACGCATGCACGCTTGCTCTCACGCACGTGCACGCAAGCACGCACGCACGCACGCACGCGCGCGCACGCACGCATGCACGCACGCACGCGTACGCGCACGCAAACGTGCACGCACACGCGCACACACGCACGCCGCACGCGCACGCGCAAGCGCACGCACGCACGCACGCGCACGCTCGCGCACGCACACACGCACGTTCGCACGCACACAAGCTTTCACACACACCCCACACACATGCCACTCGCACACAGACCTTTCACGCAATCGCGCTTGTCGTAGATGGACGACCCGAGCGCATTCTGAAATGCGACATCACCTCTCCGGGTTCCACAGCTGTAAATAGAAGAGTAAGAACGCATTTCGGAATGTTACGGACTGGCTACCTCGTAACAAGCGATGGCGTTGCGACCGTTCCCGACATTGGACGATTCCTTAGTCGCCAATTAGTGCGTTATCCGCAACCAGAATTTGTTCGCAAGTCCCCTGTTATCTGGTCCGAAATGGTCTCTAATATCACTGTTTTAGCGACTAAGGCCAGCATCTTGATGTGGAGGTACATACGTAGGAACCATCCTAAGCGGAGGTTGTAAGACTGACAGGTGAGAGTTTTGCTCTGCTTTTCCTGGTGAACGTGGGCGAATTGCGTCTTGTCGTTTCAGTTGGTCGCAGGGAACTGCCGGATCTGTTTTTTAGGTGTGGGAGCTTTCCATGCCTGAGGGGCTCGTTTGGTTTTTGCGTAGACGAACTGAGGTGTCGTCTGTGTTTTCCAAACTGCTCGTCACAAATCTCGCCTATCGTTACCCAATCACAGGCGCTTTAGCCCAACCAAGTGTAATACACTAGGAAATATGAGACCCGGGTTTTAACTCAGTTTGAATACAAGTGTGCAATGGTTCTCTCCCCCCTGCACCAGGTCAAGTGGAACTGCCAGAATGAAACGAACTCCATGATCCATACATCATCCATGTATGATGATTCAGCACCTTCGGGTTCGGGCTTGAGCTTGATTTGGGGGAAAGGGGTGAGGCTGGTTGGTGGTGGAGCTTGGCTGGTGGTGTGGTGCCTGGCAATTGCCTCGAGGTCATCGCGACTCGCGTTTGCTGCTACTCAGATATGGATGGATGGAGTCGGGTGAAAAAGGGTTAGATGGGCTACATTGTACCTGTATGGTGGTGTGGTAGAATGGCGGATGAGCCTATGCGGTGTTGGCTGCTGCTGACTCCCATTTCTGTGGCTGAGAATTGCGCGCTGCGTAAGATGCCTTCCTGCTATGATTGGTTCAGAGCTGACGGCAAATGCTGGATGATGGCACGCGGACTGACCTATGCTGTGGCTTCGGCCATAGCTGACGTCACCAAAACGAGTCATGTGGGACCTTTGCCTCACATCATTGGCCCTTTCCGGGCCAGGCGGGCTGGTTCCGGGATCCAACCAATAACAAGCCGCGTGTGGGACATGCGGAGGAGACGAGCCTTTCACTTTCCAGCTCAGATCAATCTTGGGAAACCTAGAGCTTCGCTAAGCCAGCAGACCAAATGTGAGAGAAATAGAACAGAGCAATGAATCTACACTACGATTGTCAGATACGATGGAAAAGTACCAACTAGTTGCTATTGCATTAGTTGCAAGCTAACAAGCAATCAGTCAACCTAGTGTCAAACACATCACAACTACCCAAAGTCACTACGTCACATCACATGCCTTTTGGAAACACAAAAGGCGGTTCCAATACTACTGGCGAGTGAAGGCATTTGCCCCAAAAGCCCGTGAGAACTGCAGCAACTGATTTTGCGCTGCAGCCAGATTGTGCAGCTGCTGCAGACCAGCACTAGCACTCTCCTCCCCTTGCCCTCCCCCCGCTGCTGCTGCCGCTGCAGCAACCGCCGCCGCAGCGTTTGCCCCAGCATTCACCCCATCCCACTCATTCCCCCACAGGCGCACCCGATCAAACTCCGCCTCCCCTCCTGCCCGATTCCCCGCCAGCTGCTGCCCGAGGTTAAAATGCACAGGGTTATTTACCCCAACGCCGGAAACCGAATTCAATGCCGAAGCAACTTCACCCCAAGCTGAAGCCTGCAGCCCTCCCTGCTGCAACACCCGAGCTGCACCAGCATGCCCCCCAGCAGTGGCAGCAGCTGCAGCAGCAGGGGTAGTGAACTGAAGTGGTTCAGTTTCATTATCCAGACCGCCTAGGTTGGCAAACGGGAGAGACTGCGGCCACTGAGAGCCCTGCTGCTCTGGTTCATGCACCTCCTGCTGCTGTTGCTGGTGCTGCTGCAGCTGCTGCTGTGCCTGGTGCTGCTGCTGCTGGTATAGCTGATGATGCTGCAGCTCCTCCTGCCGAACGCTCCCGTACCCAGCAGCAGCTTCTGCTGCTGTCGAGCCGAAAAGCTGCTGCTGCTGATGGTGCTGCTGCTGCGGCGGCTGCTGCTGGTGCTGGTGGTGATGAGCGTTCTGCTGCTGCTGCTCCTGCAACTGCTGGTAAAGCTGCTGAGTCTGCACCTGTGGCTGCACCTGCGGCTGCTGCTGCTGCTGCTGCTGCTGCTGCTGCTGACGCAGATACTGCTGCTGCTGATGCTGCTGGGGCTGCTGAGACCCCTGCCTCTGGGAACCCAGATACTGCCCTTGCTGCTGCTGCTGCTGCTGCTGCAGCTGCTGTTGCCGACGGGACTCCCGCCTACTGCCACCGCCAGCAGCACCTCCTGCTGCATCCTCAGCCACCGGGAAGTTGAGATTCATCACCGGGGTTGCGCCCTGAAGGTCCTGCTGTGCCACTCCCCCACCCGCAACACCTGCAAGTCCCGCACTGCCGGCTGCTGCCGCTGCAATCACCGCTGCCGCAGCTGCCGCCGCCGCAGCATGCGCATTACCTTGCTGCTGCTGTTGAACATTTTGTGCTGCAAAAGCACCAGCAGCATCCCCGCCTGCTCCCCCTACCGCCACAGCCCCGGCCCCACCACCAGCGCTGCCCCTCCCTCCGCCCGCCCCTCCTTGCCCCAGCACTGCATTTCGCCCCGCCTGCTGCCAGAGCGCCTCTAAACTCCCAAACCCAGAACCCTGCCAGGCGTCGCCTACAGCCTGCCTGAGGCTGGCTAGAGTGGCATCATCCGCCCCTGCTATGCCCATGAGTCCTGTTTCGGGTTCAGGTACTGGTACTTCTTGTTGCTGCGGCGCCTGCTGCTGCAGCTGCTGCTGAAACTGCTGCACTTGCTGCTGCCGGTACGGCTGTTGCTGTGGCTGCTGCTGCTGGATCGGTTGCTGCTGCTGCGGCTGCTGCTGATAGGGCACCTGCTGAGCCCGCGAGTGCCGAACTGACTGTTGCTGCTGCTGTTGGTTGCTGTGAGTCTGGTTTTGCTGCCAATCTGCTTGCTCCACTAACTGCTGCTGCTGCTGTTGCTGCTGGGCCAGGGCTTGCGGCTGGCTCTGCTGCCGCTGCTGCAGCAGCAGCTGCTGCTGCTGAATGTACGAGTTTCTCAGCTCAACTAGAGAAGACGAGTCTGTTGCTCCCGACTGCTGAACTATCGCCGCCCAGGACGCTGCCATCTGCTCAAGCTCCCCCAGTCCTTGCTGCTGCGCTAATCCCTGCTGCTGCGCTAATCCCTGCTGCCCCTGCCCCAACCCCTGCTGCTGCCCCTGCCCCTGCAGTCCCAACTGCTGCTGCTCATCTTCCTGCTGCTGCTGCTGCTGCTGCTGCTGCTCTTGCAACCGCTGCCTGTCCAGTCCGATCCTCCCGCCCCCTCCTGCCTGCTGCGCCACGCCCCGGTTGCCGCCACCCCCCCCTGTCGCCTGCGCCAGTGCTGCTGCCACTGCCTCAACGTCTATCTGCCCTTCCAACCCAGCCGCCACCGCTGCAGCAGCTGCTGCCGCCGCCGCCGCTGGATCAACCTCCGCCATCCCCCCATCCCTCCCCCTACCCCGGCCACCCACAACCTCCGCACCTGCGATCCCCTCCCCTCCTCCCGCCCCTTCAACCCCCACACCGAGCTCCCCCGCATTCCCCATCTCGTCCGCCCCTCCTTCCGCCCCTCCCCCTTCAGCGGCTCCCCTCCCCCTCCCCCGGTTCTTTCTCTTCTTTTTCTTCCCCTCCCCATTCGCCTGCTGCGCGGACGCCGGGAGGGTGGGCATCTTGGGGATGCGCACACGGGAGAGCGCGGGGAGGTCCCCGTTGCCTATCGCCAGCGCAGCCCCCCCTCCCCGCGGCCGCCCAGGCTTCCGCCGAATCACACCATCCCCCTCCCCTCCTGCGCCCATCTCCCCTGCAGCGTCTACCCCTTCCATCCCAACACCACCGTCCATACCCGCGCTGCCAGGAACACCCGCAGCAGCGCCAGCGGTACCAGCAGCAGGGTCAGAGGCAGGAGGCAGGCCAGCAGCTGCATTCGCCTGGGCTTGAATCACCTCTCTCTCCGCTTCCCTCGCCGCGTTCTCTGCGTTAGCCGCGGCTGACGCAATCAACGACTGAACCGCTGCCTCTTCATCCTCATCCTCATGCTTCTCGTCTTCCACAGTTCCCAGAAGCTTCCCCACGCTGGCCGCCACAGAAGACGCCAAAGCATGTGCCTCAAACTCCAACGTCCCCTCCATAAGCTGCTGCCGAGCCTCATCATGTGCCGCGGCTAGCAGTGTGGCTTGGGTCCGCCCGTCCTGCAATCTGCTTCGGGCGCGGTACACCGCCTTCTCCTTAAACCCAAACATGAGCTGGTACTTGGCAAATTCCAGCGATCCCAGCCTAATATACTCCTCCAGGGCTTTAAGAACGTCGTCCCACTGCATGTCCCCGGGATGCCCCAGAGCCATCCCTCCATTTGCTTCTTTGAACTTCGCCTTGGCGAGCGCGCCGATGTTGTTTGCAGGGCTCCAGGCGATTTGCAGGAGGGTGCATACAGGCCGTTCCTTCAAGGCTATCTGTAGCTTCGTGGCGCTTAGCTCGAGATCTGCTGCGAGGGATTGGGCGGTTAGGGATTCGCGCTGCTGCTGCAGCTGCTGCTGCTGCTTCTGAAGGTCCTGCTTCTGCTGCTGCAGCTGCTGTTGTTCCTCACTGGACCCACCATCAGCCCCACCAGCAGCGCCGCCAGCAGCACTGCTCTCTCCTCTTGCCCCACGCACACCATCACCACCACCACCACCAGCACCACCAGCACCGCCAAAACCACCAGCCGAAGCAGCAGAAGCGGCAAAGAACCGCGTATCAGACCCCATGACGGTACCAGGGGGAGCAGAAAGGCCCGTGACAGGGGCGAGACCGGGTTGGTTCTGAGTGGCGGCCATCCAGAGGCGCGATATCTCCTCCGTCTGCGCCTTGTTGACCCCCTCCAGCAAGGACAGCTGCACGCGCGCCTGCGCCAGCATGTGCTCCTGCGCCACCACCTGATGGAGGGGAGGAGAGAGTGGTGGGAAGCGGTGGGAAGGGTTGGGAATCGGTGGGAGGTGGTGGGAAGCGGTGGGGAAGGTGTGGCGAGATCTCCTCCGTCTGCGCCTTGTTGACTCCCTCGAGTAGCGACAGCTGCACGCGCGCCTGCGCCAGCATTTGTTCCTGCGCCACCACTTAACAGGGGGGAGGGGAGACGGTGGGAAGCGGTGGGAGGTGGTGGGGAACGGGTGGGACGCGGTGGGAAGCGGTGGGGAAGGTGTGGCGAGATCTCCTCCGTCTGCGCCTTGTTGACCCCCTCCAGCAAGGAGAGCTGCACGCGCGCCTGCGCCAGCATGTGCTCCTGAACAACCTCCTGACATAGGGGAGGAGAGAGCGGTGGAAAGGGGTGGGAAGGGTTGGGAATTGGTTGAAAGCGGTGGACAGCGGTGGAGAGGGGTGGGAAGGGATGGGGAAGGGGTGGGGAGACCGGGTTGGTTCTGAGTGGCGGCCATCCAGAGGCGCGAGATCTCCTCCGTCTGCGCCTTGTTGACCCCCTCCAGCAAGGAGAGCTGCACGCGCGCCTGCGCAAGCATGTGTTCCTGCGCCACCACCATACCTGCTTCTTCAGCTCTCCGAACGCCTGCTTGGCCGCCTCCTTGGTGTTCCGCGCGCGCCTCAGCTCCCGCCCCATCGCGATCTGCTCTCCCCTCATCCGTTTCATCTCAACTATCGCCTCTTCTAGAAGCTTCTGCTGGCTCCTCAGCCGTTCCCTGTCCACGCGCTCCCTCTCCGCCCTCTCTCTTTCCATCCGTTCGCGTTCCCTTCTCTCCCTCTCCAAACGCTCCCTCCCCGCCTGCTCCTTCTCCCTTTCCGCCCGTTCCTGATCATCTGCGCCTTCGGGAACTCCGCCAGTGACAGCCCCGGCTTCCGCCTCCCCTTCCCCTTCCGCCTTCCCCTCCCCCTCCGCCCCGAGACCAACCGCGTCGGGCGCAACTCCCTCCTGATTGTCCTTCCCCTCCCCCTCTCCCTGCTGCTGCCCCGGGCGCTCTTTCCCTTCCGCCTTGACCCTCTGCGCCCCCCGCCGCCTCTCCCGCTCCCGCTCCCTGTCCTGCGCCTTCCCGCGCAAAAACTCCTGCTCCAGGCGCAGCTGGTGCGCCCAGTCTTCCGCCGCTTCCTCCGCCTCCCCGTCCCCTCCCTCCTCCTCCTCCTCTTCTTCCGCCCACAAGTCCTCCCCAAGAATGCTCATTTGCGGCTGCCCTTTTATCCCGCTGCTGCCCAAGTTGCCCGGAAACAAAGGCACAGGCATGCTGTCCGTCAAACGAATCTTATTCCCGTCCACCCCGACCGCTTCTCCTCCTAATTCTTCTCCTTCCCCTTCTCCTTCCTCTTCAGTCCCCAACTTGGTCCTCTCTTTCTCAAGCCCCTTCCGCCTGACCTTCTTCAAAGAGCCTCGAAGACTCTCCTTATGCCCCCGCATTCCACGTTGCAACCCACGCCGCATCTCACGGCGTCGCCTACGGTCCATGTGCACTCCCCCGCGGTTGCCCGGGAAGAACAACACGTCATCTTTGACCTCCACCACGTCATCATCCTCGTCCCGCAAATGCTGGAACCGCCTCCGGCCTTTCCGTTTCCGCTTCCCGTCCACGTCAGCACCGCCAAACCCATCCAATCCTGCTATACCACGAAAACCCGCCCCCGAACCCCGCCTTCCACGCAAGTTCCGGAAGCCCTCTCCCCGCATTCCACCCGCAAACCCTCCCTCAACCTCCTCCTCCTCCTCTTCCTCCTCCCCCATCTCATCGTAATGCGCGTCCTCATAACGCGGGGCCTTCGGCCGCGCGCTTATGCCCATCTCCGCCACGAAGTTCGCCGCCCAATCCGGAACGAACTTGCTATCCCCTTGGGGTCGCCGCCCGAAGCGGCCAAAGAGGGGATCCAAAGGCAGGGGCACCTGCTGCTGCGGCGGCGGCGGAGGATGCAGATGCGGCTGGTGCCCGAGCCGCGAGTGGATTTTGTGCGGATGCGGCCGATCCAGCCCCTGCGCCGGTCCGCGCGGCAGCGCCGCGTCTCGTTCCACGCGCGGTTTCTTCTCCCCGCGCTCCAGGAACGCCATCCCCACGCGCACGGCGTCCGCTTCCGCGAAAGCGCGCCGTTTGAACGGCCGCCCGCCCAGCGCGTCCCCCATGAGCGGGGAAAAAGCGTCCGCGTCTGGCGCCTCCGCTCTGCGGATCTTCTTCGGCCGTCCGCGTTTCCGCTTGAAGGGGAGGTCCGCGTCAGCCGGATCTAACGTTGCCGGCAGCTCCTTGCCGTCACCGTCACCGTCATCGCCACCGCCACCGCCACCACCACCACCGTCGCCATCGTCTTTGTCCCCGTCTCCGTCTCCTTTCCCTTCTCCGTCGCCGCCGTCACCGCTACCGTCACCGTCACCATCGCCGTCGCCTTCACCGTCGCCATTGCCGTCGCCGTCACCGTTGCCTTCACCGTCATCGTCATCACCATCGCCCATGTCTCCGTCAAGGTCCGCGTCATCCTCGCCAAGGCCATCCTCGTCAAAAGCAGCTTCGATAGGATCCAGCAGGACGGATGCCGTCTGCTCTTGAAACATTTGCATCATGTCTTTCCGCGGAGGATCCGCCGGAAACTGCGCCGACTGCGGAAGCTCCGCGGGTAACTTTCCTCCGACATCAACCGGCGCTTCCGCAACATTTGCACCTCCGCCTTCCGTTCCGCCTTCCGCTCCGCCTCCCCTCCCGCTTCCGCTTTCCGCGTTACTTCCGCCTTCCGCTCCGCCTCCACCTGGCGCAAGCGTCGGCGCGAGCTGTGGCTCCAAACCCGTCTGGCCACCGTCCACCTCAGTAGCTCCAGCTTGTTCCGATCCATTACGCTTAGTCTTCTTCTCGATATCATTACGCTCGGTCTCGTCGTTGCCGTCAACTGACTGCTTTGCAACATTAGCGGAGTCGGAACCGGGAATAGGCTCGTTCGCAGGAGTAGGATCGTTTACAGGAACACCATTCTTCACGTCATCGCTAGTAACGGGTTCTAGAGCATCGGCATTTTCTAGAGGAGCGGAAGGGTCATCGTCGTTGGCTGTGGGAGGCGGTTCAGAGGAGGTGGTTGTTTGTTGATTTGTAGGTGCTGTCTGCAGCTGTAGTAGCGTCTGAAGAGATCCAGATGTCATTATGCCACGCTTTGCGTTAAGGGAAGAGCAGAAAATAAAACGGTTTCAAAAAAAAATAGCAGCGCAGAAGGACAAGAAATAAAGCTTTGCGTCGGCTGACCGAAAGCTAGTCAATCGTCCTGTTGCCAAGGTAAATAAAGTCAGACTGCGTGTATCAGGTCAGAAACACAGGTGACGGAGGTGCTGGTTTCGGTTCTGTTGAACACTAGCGGCCAAGCAAGGTGAGGGCAAAGAAAGGAACACAAGGAAACGTTGGGCGAGGAAAGTGGTCAGAGACCAACAGCCATGGATGTTGCCGCGAGGAAGTGCCTCTCGAAAACACCAAACTCGAAAACTCAAAAACTTGAAACTTCAAATTGCAAATGCCAGGTCCTTCGGGCTTCAGCCCACCAGTACTGGTCGAAAGAAACCAGGGTTTCGTCTAAAGCCGCGGATAGAGGTCTGAAGCACTGAATGAACCAGAACACTAGCGCTCTGCTGGGCTGTACCAGCGCTTCAGCCAGGATATTAGTTCGCTTCTACAATTTTTATGGCCTGCCCGATTCAATATTGACGTGGAAGGTCTTGCGGGCAGCGCTGCACAGCAGGCTGGTTGGCCGCGCATGTTCCAGCGTGGCATTCAAACCACTGCGCTGACCATTGGTGGAGGGGACCAGCGAAATCTGGAGGTTATCCGGGCAGCACTCCCAATATTTGTTCCTCTGCAGTCATTGATGAAACCCTAGCTCCTTCATCCTTCTCCAGCTTCCTCCTCCGGGGCACGGACAGTCGTATAATGAGGTTGACTACACCTCTCGTTGGGTCGCTTATGTTTCTAGATGGGATTGAAATCTTTTCCATCGACTGTTTTCATCCAGCAATTCCAACGTGCTTCTGTCGTGATCGGCATGCTTGGATGCCAGCCTAGGGTGACCAGTGACCACCAGCGCAGATCGAATACAAAGACCCTCGCAATTCACCCACTCCTGATGGGTGACTCGCAGAACCTTCAGAACGAGGAAGGAGAGAGGTGTCGCAGAATGGTTTCTGGTAATTGTTGGCGCTTTCCACTCATTCACTGCATTTCAGAGGAGGCATGTACGTCACTTCTGTTGTGGAACCGTGCACCAGCAAAATGCATTTGGGGTATGAAATATAAGGGCGTATTTGTTTGTCCCAACAAGGTAGGGGTTGCAGGGGGGGGGGGAAGCCCAACAAGGACTAGACCGTGAAGTGTATTGACAAAGTTCCCAACCAGCTGTAAAGGTATCAGCAAGCATTTCGAACAAAAGAAAGGGTGGAAAACTACCACAAACACAACGAAGCATTCGTAGAAACTACTTCTACACCTTGACATCGCACACAAGCACTTGGTTCGTTTACACGTTAATGCTGGAGGGCTGACCCAGGTCTCAGTAGCACGACTGTACCTAAGTTTTCCATATGTGTGTGTGATTATACTGAATGGTCCAGTCGAGACATCCCCCACAGTTGTGAACATGGGAGCCGAGCTGAGCCGATACACTACGATGTGTGACAAATACGAGTACTTGACGACTTCGTTTGGTAGTGGTCCCAAACATGAACACTTGACAGCTCTGTTTGTGTGGTGTACAAAAACGCCAGTTTGAACATCGAGGCAGTAGGTCATTTCGGGTTCGTCTAGCGTGGTGCAGCATTATATCAAGGTTGAAAACGGTTCTGTAGACAAGTATCACCCACCCCCAGTCTGCAACAAGGCAGTTGGAGTGACCTCGATTCAGTTCATTAGTTCCTAGGTTAATCTCCATCGACGTGTGTATCTCTAGAAGCCTCGGTTAGTCCTGGGAAGTGAAGGAGCTCCAATATTCCGCAACGTGGTGCCGGTATCCCCCAAGGTCCTTCGATTTGTTTCTGTTCAAATTCGCGTACTAACGTCGGGTTGACGTTCATTTTACAATGCGTCATCTTTCCTTACCGCCAGACCAGATCGCTGCTCAGCTTCGGCGGGAGCACGATCATCCGCAACAGCAGCAGGAGCAGGAGCGATTGGTCAGCACCAATCACATATCAACACCCGACGGCACATCCAACGGCGGCGGCAACGATGCCGGCTCGTATGGTGTCCCCTCGCCGGCCAACAGAACATCAATCGCACAACAAACTTTTCAACCTGGCGTTTCTCCTCATTCCGGATCAGCGGGAACCGCGTCAGGAGTGTCCGTCTTCAGTCGTGAGCTGAAGGTGGTGCCAGGGGGAGTTTCCGGCATGACAATCGAGGCCGCGGGGACCGAGCTCTCCGGTCAGATAATGCACAATCGGACGGCTTCGGGTCAATTAACCGTTGCGCCGCCGTCGTCGCCGCTTGGCGGCTCGGGGTCAAAATCACGTCTGTCAATGCACTCATCTTCGATGCCCTCCCCTGTCAGTCGATCGGGGGGTAAAGCCGCCGGTCCCCCTCCCCCTCCCCCTGCCGTGTTCCACAAGGCCCTGCAAGACTTGAGGGCGATGTCGGACCCTCCACGTCAGCTTGCCGCAGCGCGTGCTCTTCGCGAAATTGCACGCGACTTCGAGGGGAGCCGCCCGGCCATGGTGGAAGCGGGGGCTGTTTCCGCGTTGCTTCCGCTTCTGGGACCCAGTGAGACCTCGCAATGTCAGCAACAGGAGGTTGAAGGTTGTGGTGGGGGAAGTTCAGGAATAATTATCCGGGAAGATGGATCGGCAGGAGCAGCAGCAGCAGGCGTAGGTTCGGGAGAAGTTTCTAAAGCTGCAGTGATGGAGGAAGCAATAACCGCATTACTGAATCTGTCGATCCACCCAAAATCTCGCGCACTCATGCCCTTCTTGGGGGTTATTCCGCATCTAATCCGTGTGGCTGGGAGTGCAGAGAGTATGAGTGCACGGGAAACTGCTGCTGCTACACTGTTTAGCTTATCGGCTGATGATGATCGACGAGGGTGCTGTACCGCCGCTGCTGGAGCTTTTAAACGAGTCAGCTTGTAGCGAGCAGGGAAGACGGGACGCCTGCAAAGCGCTGTTTAACCTCTCCATGCTGAATTCAAAGCGGCAGGAACTGATTGATGCAGGCGCTGTGCCTTCCCTTCTGGGTCTGCTATCTGAACCTGCATCAGCCCTTGCAGAGAAAGCTATGGCCGCTCTCTCAAACCTCGCATCCGAAGCCGATGGCAGGGCTGCTATTATGGAGGATGAAGATGATGGTCTGGGGGCTCTGGTGGAGGTTCTGGAGACAGGTACACTAAGGGGGAGGGAGTTTGCAGTTGCTGCATTATGGCAGATTGCAAGCAACAATGAGGAGCACAGGAGGTTGATTCTTGGAGAGGCGCTGCTGCCTTCGGTTAATGGTCTGCTACAGACTGGCACTCCAAGAGCTAAAGAAAAGGTGAGCTTGTGTTTTTATTACTTAGTCTGCGTGTGTTGGTAGACTGCAAGTAACAGTTGCTGTTTTCCATTCAGAATCACTTACGCTCAGTTGTGGTTTGCTGTGTATTTTTTCCAGGCGAAATTGCTCTTGGCTAATCTCCGTGGAGTATGATGTGGAGGTTGATCAGTGCTGTACAACTTTTCCCCATCCAAATGAAATTGCAATGTTGAGCAATACATATCAATTAAAAAAAAAAAAAAAAAATGGACTTTCGACTACGGATAATGCGTCTCTCGAGACAACCGCGCCTACCACTGAACTAGGTATGTGAGACGGTCATATCCAACACGCTTTTATGGTGTGGTCTGAAGCCAAGCTTCAGAGACCGCATAGTACCAGTATCTGTACAAGCTCAGGCTACATCGGCACAGAGCATCATGTGGCCGTGGCCTTCGCTGGGCTGTTTGAGATACAAACATCAGATGAAGATTGGCGAGTTCATGGCGGACTTCCGGCGGGACGGCCGGCGGCGAGGGCTGGACGGCATGAGGTCGTTCCAAATGTCGTCCCAATCGTCCTTGCGCTGAGTTTTTCGCCGCGTTGGTGTGTTGCGAGAAGGCTCGGCCGGAGATTTCGAGACCATCGAGACAGACGCTCTCCG